AAATTCTCATCATAGAACGGAACCGCCATGGTTGAATATTCGGCCTTCTCGTCTTCAACTCCTTTTTTTCCTTTTCCAATGTTCCTAAGTCTATCCTGCCATTCTTGCTTTGTCCCTATGTTTGGAGGTCTCCACCTCAAATGCTTTGATTCATTGGAACCCTGTATTATTTGATTTCCGAGAAATTGAAATGAAACAACTCAGCAAATTGTGAATAACCAGAATCTGAAATTGCAAGCATTCTGTTACCCAACATCTACGATCTGTTGGGTAAAAGACCAACCCAAAACGTTTAGTCAACTAAGCCTGACTTAACAATCTAGATTAATTGAAGTCATGCTAATTTCATCTTAAAACTACTAGGATTCATTTTTTTCCCTGCTTGGGAACCAAATAAAATGATCACTTCCTAAACCAAGCAACAAAAATCAAAATCGTGCAAAACTTAAACTGATTGATCCTGCATTTCCACCCAGAAGAAAACAAACAACCATTCAATCAAACCCCATTGAATTATATAAATAATAAAAAAAGACAATAAACAAATAAACAAACAAAGCTTACTACCTTTGACTCGCCCTCGTTACTTGGCGGTTCATCATCTGCTTGATTAATCAAATTCTTGGGCGATTGCTTATCAGAATCTTCACCGATTTAACATCAAGTTGTCAAAAAATCAACAACATTTATAATCATGAACAAGAAATTAAAATCCCGGAAAATAAAAATAGCATTAGGAAAAGTCAAATTGAAGTCTGAGGCAGTAAAAAAATGTAAACCGAAAATCAGGATTTAGTGAATGAGATTAAAAATTGAAGATATAAAAAAGAGAATTTCTGCACCTCGATCGGGCTTTAAGTCAGAGAAAACTCGCTCCGCTTTAGCCGCCGCAGAATGGAAGGCGGTCCTCGCTTTGGATACAAAGGAGGGCGACTCCATATCCTGCGCCGGGGGTGCCCACGTTAAGCTCTCAGTGAGATGACTGCGCCATAGCCCAAAATGGAGTCCATGTTTGCAGTTGTAGAGAGAGAGAGAGAGAGATTTGTTGGGGAGCACTTAGGCTGGGGACATGTCATTCAGTCGGACAGCTTTTAAATTTTTTTTTTTTTTGGGTAATTTATTTATAATTTTTCTATTTAAGGATATATGACCCAAAAGAGAAAAATAATGGATATTGATATTGGTATTACCGTCTGTTTTCTACGGGGTCAGTATTTTTTGTAGAGTACGTTAGCCAAAAAAAAACATAATAATATTAATACTCATTGCTCTAACTAATTTTTTCTTGCATACTAAATTTTTTTTCTCCCACTTAAAGATTATTAATTTTTCTCTATACAAGCTCCATAAGTGGAATATAAAACCTCAAAGTCACCAACTAGCTCTTTATTTAGTGATATTTCTCCCATTAATGTTTAGGATATGTCTCAAATTTAAATTCCATATTTGTATTGATAACATGAAATGACAGGACTCGACCCAAATTCCACTTTGGAATTCGAGCCGAACCCTATGCGTGTTCGACATCTGGCAGGTGCTGAGCACATTTGACCAAACTGCCCTTCTAATTAAAACTAAAAGTTCTTTTTCTAGTTTGACTTCTACCTAAAATTCGGCAGAGTTTCCCCTGTAAATTGTTTGTTTCCCAATAACTTTCCACCTGTAAATGTATATCATAGTAAATTTAGGTTTTAGCCATAAAAAAACTTTCACTTTTGGAAAAAATCAAAACTTTTTCAAAAAAGACAGAAAAATCTCTCAACTTTCAAATCAAAGACATGCAAATATAAATGATTTCTTAGGAAATCCAAAAATAAATAAGGGCAATTTTGTCCATTTTGGCTTCTTTTAAAAAATTTCTCTCTCCTTTTGCTTTTTCCAAAGTCTCCCATGTATCATTAACATTGAAAAATAATTCTCAATCGTTCAGCATGCATCAGACGAATAACCTTGAATAGCCTCAAGCCTCCATAAATCAAATAAAACATTCCACACACTGAATATGAAATCAACCTTTGGAATAACGTGAATAGTTAATCAATTTCCAATAAAACCCAACTGAACAAAATTTAAGACACTTGATCTTGTGGTTGCACCTAGTAGCTCTAGGTTGCCTACGTACCCTTTCAAAGGGATCAAGTCATACGTAGTTCTTCCACTTAATATATTTACACATAAATAGGCTACTCAAAGAATTTCCTCAAATCCATTAATCAATTTATAATTTACTTGCGTAAATCATATGTAAAAACAAACAAACTCATAAAACACTTTTAATTCGTCATTCAGAACTCACATAAAGCTCATGTACACAAATGAAGAACAAAATCATTCATTACTTGCCTCATAACATTAGAAAAATAGGTATTAAAACTTGTACTCAAAAATACCAAGATAAAATCCTCAATTTTTGTTTAAACCTCTTAAAAACCCAAATATTCTACACCTAAGTGTACCCCCCCCCCTTTCATATCCCATCAATTCCTTTGATATACCGTCAATTCGGATAGTTTCCCATCAATTTCAATAATATTCCGTCAATTCCATGAATTTTCAGTCAATTCCAATAATGTACCGTAAATTCCTTGTGTCACCTAATGTGACACATCCTCACAGGCTTCGAAAACACAAAATCCACCCGAGCCGCAATCCTCGCAGGTCTCAAAGACACAATGTCAACAAAGCAGCAATCTTCACAGGGCTCGAAAACACAAAGTTGACCGAGCCGCAATTCTCGCACCACACGGTTCAGGCGTTCCCGAAACTCGTGGGGCATTAACAAAAATAACGAAACCGTTTCAAGGCAATCGGGGGGGTACCGTCGGGCGGGTTTCAAAACCATATACCGAAACTTATCATTAAATTCTCATACTCCGCAAATCCATATTTCAAATCTTTTCTCAACTTTCCAAAAATCAATTCTCAACTACCTTTGAATTTATACTCCATACTGTTGAGAACTGGTGTCCATAATTTATCATTTTCAAACCACTGAGTACATATATGCATTAAATATGGATTCTTTGATTATGGATGGATTTTGAGTTATTATAATATTTTACGATATTCCCGGATGTTATTTCTGATATTTGAAAATCATGCATTATTGGAAGTGATGGGATCTTTAGGAGTTATTGACTTATTTATTTATTTACCTATTATTATTAATATTATTATTATTATAAAAGTATCTGACTGAGTGTTATTGGATGATTTAATGTTTATGAGTTACTATGTAATAGGATTTTGACGTGAATAATAAATTAGTTAAATATCTTAAATACATGTCTATATTTAATATTTATACATATAGATATGCAAATGATGGATCTAGAGAGGTTCCCCCTTTTTTATTATAAGCTAGAGAGAGTGAATAGAATCTTGCTCAAGTTCTTTATCTAGATTTGCGAATGATGGACCTAAGCCCTTGAACCGTTGTGAACCTTGCTTCTATGCTAGTCCAATTTGGTAAAAATTAATAGGAAGAAACTGAGCAATGGCAGAGGAATTCAAAGAGGTAGGGTTGTCGTGTAATTTTACGAAGGTTAAGGGGAAGAGCAATTCAGAACATATCAAGGCGGTTATGAAATTTCGAGGACGAAATTTTTATAAGGGAGTAGATTGTAACAACCCGATCTTAAATTAATATTTCATTATTAATTTATTCAAGTAAAAGACAATTTTACCCCAGGAATATTTTATTCGGTTAAAAGTTGAATTTTTGTTCGAGAATCAATTTGGGAATTTTAATTATATCGTTGTGTAGAGCACATCAAGATAAGTTCGTAGACATATAGTGGGCTCAAATCGGAGTTATCACAGGCTTCGAAAACACAAAATCCACCCGAGCCGCAATCCTCGCAGGTCTCAAAGACACAATGTCAACAAAGCAGCAATCTTCACAGGGCTCGAAAACACAAAGTTGACCGAGCCGCAATTCTCGCACCACACGGTTCAGGCGTTCCCGAAACTCGTGGGGCATTAACAAAAATAACGAAACCGTTTCAAGGCAATCGGGGGGGTACCGTCGGGCGGGTTTCAAAACCATATACCGAAACTTATCATTAAATTCTCATACTCCGCAAATCCATATTTCAAATCTTTTCTCAACTTTCCAAAAATCAATTCTCAACTACCTTTGAATTTATACTCCATACTGTTGAGAACTGGTGTCCATAATTTATCATTTTCAAACCACTGAGTACATATATGCATTAAATATGGATTCTTTGATTATGGATGGATTTTGAGTTATTATAATATTTTACGATATTCCCGGATGTTATTTCTGATATTTGAAAATCATGCATTATTGGAAGTGATGGGATCTTTAGGAGTTATTGACTTATTTATTTATTTACCTATTATTATTAATATTATTATTATTATAAAAGTATCTGACTGAGTGTTATTGGATGATTTAATGTTTATGAGTTACTATGTAATAGGATTTTGACGTGAATAATAAATTAGTTAAATATCTTAAATACATGTCTATATTTAATATTTATACATATAGATATGCAAATGATGGATCTAGAGAGGTTCCCCCTTTTTTATTATAAGCTAGAGAGAGTGAATAGAATCTTGCTCAAGTTCTTTATCTAGATTTGCGAATGATGGACCTAAGCCCTTGAACCGTTGTGAACCTTGCTTCTATGCTAGTCCAATTTGGTAAAAATTAATAGGAAGAAACTGAGCAATGGCAGAGGAATTCAAAGAGGTAGGGTTGTCGTGTAATTTTACGAAGGTTAAGGGGAAGAGCAATTCAGAACATATCAAGGCGGTTATGAAATTTCGAGGACGAAATTTTTATAAGGGAGTAGATTGTAACAACCCGATCTTAAATTAATATTTCATTATTAATTTATTCAAGTAAAAGACAATTTTACCCCAGGAATATTTTATTCGGTTAAAAGTTGAATTTTTGTTCGAGAATCAATTTGGGAATTTTAATTATATCGTTGTGTAGAGCACATCAAGATAAGTTCGTAGACATATAGTGGGCTCAAATCGGAGTTATAACGAAGAAGTTACGATCAAAAGAAGTTCAGTGGCACAATCATAATTTTTGTGAAGTCAGTTTTAAAAAAATATATATCATAATCTCTCTCTCTCTCTCTCTCTCTCTCCCTGCGCGCAGAAACAGCCCCCTCATGGTTACTATTCATCTGCATCATCTTTCCTCTGCCATCTCCTCCATCGGCCACCAAATTCTATGATATTAGTACCAAAACGTCAAGCTCACTTCCCTCTTCCTTTCTCGACCCTTCACCAATGCTGGAACCGCCATTATTCAACAGAAATTATGAAAAACCGACCGATTTTACCCATAACTCCACAGAGCTCGTTCGGGTGATTTCGGAAACCATTTTCTTCGAATTTGGTATCAGAGTTACTCTGCCGTGTGGTGGGAGTGTGCCAATGAGGACATCGGGCCCCTAAGGGGGTGAATTGTAACATTCCATATTAACCAATGTAGATGAGGTGATGTGCCTTACATGTACATGTCTACCTCCATCTAGCATGAGGCCTTTTGGGAGCTCACTGGCTTCAAAGTCATGTGAACTCCGAAGTTAAGCGAGTTGGGGCTAGAGCAATCCCAGAATGGGTGACCCACTAGAAAGTTGCTCGTGAGTTCCCATAAACAAAACCCTGAGGGTAGATAGGGGGCTCAAAAAGGACAATATCGTGCTACGGCGGAGCCGATCCAGGATGTGACATGAAATCATAGGTATGAAGAGTGAGTGATGTGCACCACTTTAGTTACAAACGCCCTTATTTAAAAATGAGATTGCCAATGGAATCAAGTCCAGTGGAAAAAGACATTTACTTACATACTTGTAGTCTCAAGTTCGAACCCCCATGACACATTAGCAAGGGCTGCCATGTGGGTGTGTAAGTGGTGTCACTGCACAGGGCTACAAATTTTTGAGGGCCTCCGATTTTTTTGTATGTGTATATATATATATATTAATATTTTAAATGTTGTATACATAATGAATGAGCAAAATTGTTGACACAAAGACGTTTCTAGTTGTGTCGGTTTTGCGGGCTTCAACTTCT